TAAAAAACATTAACCTCGTAAAGAGCACGGATCTTAGGGGTAGACTTAGTAGTAACTTGTTGCACACTTCCTCATGAATGGTGGTTTTCGGCCATCTCTTCTATCAAATTATAGGCTACATCTTGAGGACTATTCATTAGGGCTCCTCCAAAAACTGCATCTAAGGTCATCCTTGCAGAGTAAAGGAGACCATTGTAAAATGTATAGATAATCATCCATTTCTCAAGCCCATGAAAATGAGTAGTCTTAGTAAATCTTTATAACACTCTCATACATCAAACATTAATTCCCTATCTTCTTTCCTAAAGTTGTTAATCTTATTCGTAACTTAGGTCGTTTTACTTGGCAAAAAGTACCGCACAAGAAAGGCCGTTTTCAATTAGGTCCATGATGTAATATAATTGGCGGGGAAGGATTGCATCCAAGCCACGCACGATCTCTCAAAGAGAAAGGAAACAAACAAAGGCAGATAACGCTTTGGTCAACACCATTAGCCTTAATAGTACCACAATTATCAACAAATTGAAAGGTGAATGTTCAAGTTTTCAGAGGGTAAACTGGAAAGTTGATTTTGTTGCACAATATCAATCAAAGAAGGTTTTAATTCAAAGTTATTTGTCGCAATTGGTAGGTGTACAATATTACAATGCAGTCCCTCTTTGGAAGGAACGACATAATCCTTAAGAGGCTTGGTTTCAACTATTGGATCAACCATAGCTTGTAATCTAAGATTTCAGCATCTCTCGATTAAGAAACGCTCGATTTTGTTTACAGGCCCAACTAAACTTCCAATAGAACTATTTCTTAGTATACAAGAGCAGTGAGAACCACAACAAAATAAACACAGTGAAACAAGCATAAAAATAAAGCTCTAGTATATATGGTGATCAAATAGTAGTTCAATATTAAACGCAATTGGTCCCTGACAACGCGCCAAAAACTTAACACGCTGCAAGTGAACGACTATGCGAAGTAGTAAAAAGTTATCGAACTACATAGACCAATGGTTTAAGTATCAAATTTTATCCTATATGTGTATATCTAGAGAAATCAATAATATGAGTTTTGGTGAAAATAAATTAATTGAAAAAGCACTTAAATAAAAACAACTTATTTGTAAAATCATTTAAATTCCAATTAGGGCAAACAAGACCTAGGGTTATGGTTCTCACTCTAACACATTCTTACAATCCGAGTCACTTTTATTACGAGAATTCGACATAATTTATAGAAAATAGTTAAATGTGGGAAATACCTGCTTTTACCAACACATTACCCTATCGATGACAAATAATTTGTCTGCTTTTGTACGATCAGATTATTTGTCAATGATTTGTTACTTTTTCTCAGCTATAAAGTTTTATCAAATTCGTCCAAGCGCTTTCGCTATATTGGACTTGCCTGTTTAAAAACTTGTGTTCCGGTATCGACACATATCTTCTCAGACTACAGTCGATATCCAAGAACACTTTACATTCATACAAGAATTGGAATGCATGAACTCAGGCAATAAAATAAGCTGATGATTCCAAGCTTTTGAGGTTGCCATCAATTTTGGTAACACTAACTTAATTGCTAGATGTTGGAAAAGATGTCCTAACATGATGAAGAACTACCTGAAGATCAAGATGTTGGACAAGATGTCCTATCCTGTGATTCGACATCTTTGTCTGTTATTTTTCAGTTTTTTAGTCTGCTTTTTTCCAATTGTCAGTTTATTTTGGGATTATTTGTTTTTCCTAGGTGGCGTCCAAGATTGAGGAATCATAGATTCTGATTATAATTTGAGGATGCCATTTCTAAATGTGGAGACACTTTAGGAAACTTAGGATTGAAGAAACTATTCTAGAGGAGAATTAGTTGCAGATTCTGAGGAACAGAATTTCTGCATTTTGAAGCTCAAATCCAGTCTACCTTATGGTTATAAATATGATGGTTTTGACCCACAAGAGGTGTGGAATTCACATTGTTTCTTTGTGTGTACTACAGTTTGTACTTTGTGTTCCTCTCTTGTGTCATGTTAATACTTGAGCTGGACTGTTTACATTGAATTGTAATTTCTGTCACTTCTATGATTGAAAGGGAATTGAGAAGGGTCTCATGCCTAGAAAGAGTCTTAGGTAGAAATTAAGCATGGGTAGTGATTAAGTGATAAGTTGTAAACCGGAGGTTGTTTAGCTTAGAATTAATACTATCTAGTGGATTTTATTCTTGGCTTGGAAGCCCCCAGACGTAGGTGTTGTTGTTCACCGAACTGGGATAACAATTCTGTGTGTTTGTTTACTTTCTGCAATTTGTTTTCTGCTCCTTATTTATTGTGTTTTAAGCAGAGATCAAGTGTTTCGACATCTCTCAAGACATCTGAGATCTGCATACTAGAATTTCATAAACTTAGAAAAATACTCTCGTAATCTACACGTGAAACATGTAAATTGACCTCAACCCCTTTCAAAAATACAACATTTTAATCCATCATATGTGCCCCTTATGGCTTCCGCCTTTTTAGTAAAACGATCAATGTGTCCACACAAGGTTTCCTTATTTCATTAAGTAATCTGACTTAGTACGACCATCGTTGTGGGTTGACACTTCCAGATGGTGAAGTGGGCGGTAAAGGCTTCGCAAAGGTCTCTATACAAATCTATGCTATTGTCTAGGAGGCTTTTATACCAAGTTGTTTTAATCCATTCAAAGTTAGTGCAAAGAGTTTGAACTTTATAGACATATCAAAGTGGTAGTAGCTTAATCGGTCATCCACATGCTCGACATGTTCGTCTAAATCCTTGGTTCCACTATAGCTTAAAAGTTTTGGAGTATTTTTCTAGTGACCTCAGGGGTACAAGAAAATATGTTTTTTTTCTCTAGGGATGACGCATCTTCTTTATATCTTTCCCTCATTCGAAGGCGACATACCTTTGGGGGAGTGTGACTACTGCTCCCCCTCTTCACAACTAGGGGAATGAGTATCCTATTTTCGGTAGGAGCGACTAAGTGACTTTGGAGATTCTCTTTATGGTGTAATGTCTTTAATGGAGGTTGGCTCAAGATTGGCGACTTGAGTTCTTTTGAAGGTTGTTTCATGCATAACATTGCTCTTCAAATTGACATGTTGCAAGTTCTCCTTAATCCTAAATAGCCTTTTACCCAGGAGTTGCAAATTGTACTGTTGCACCATTTTGTAGACACAATTCAGTAGATCAGTGGATCTCTGCACTTTGAGGTTATCTTGTAACACTTGTAGGTCGAGGAATGCTTCTTGTCTAGGAATCACAGGCAACAACAGAGGCTTGTGCAAAGGTTTTCCTTGATGAAACTATTGCGTGGATCCAAAGAATGGAAGAGATTGCAAAAATCCATGGCCAACTCTAAGTTGAACGTGATCTTGTTGTGAATGATTGGAAGAAGATGTTATAAATACTAGATCATCCACTATTTGAGGAACAAGACATGAACCTTTGGAAACTTCAGTAGCGACAACAATGGCCTGCCGTTGGATGACGAATGGAATGGCTTTGGATGCCACCATAATTGATAAATCTAAGAAAGATCTGATGGAAAGGACATTGAGATTCGAGGAAGGTGACATATAAAGAGAGATTTGTACTTCGAATGAACGAGATTCGAACTTCTAATGGAAAAGATTTAAACTTCTATTGGAGGAGATCTGAACATGGAAATGAGTTGACATTAGTTTTATTTATTTCCACAAACGGTGCCAATGTTCCGTATTGGAACTAGAATTGATTGGTAAACAAGGAAATAAAGCTTGCTACGATGAACCCGGACTTCCGATGCGGTGGATAGGGGACTGGCATAAAAAGTTAACACTTAAATACTCAAGTCAGTTAGAGAGTGAAAAGTGATGTGTGAATGAAAATGAATTTGAATACATGAGAAATGATGCACATTCCTTCTTAAATAGGAGAAATAGTTGGCAACTGAAAGCATGAAGTGAGGCATAAATCACGATCAACCCTCATACGAATTTGGATGACAGACAAGGCTTTCGCAGACAGAATAACCTATCTATAGAAAGAAAAGATATACCTATATTGCACGCTTAATTACTTATACTATTTCATTAATCCGCTCTGTCTTGGACCTTGCGAAGGCTCATAACGGTTTTTATCCTAGAAATACCTCATTGACCATCCAAATTAAAATTTATGTTGAAGTCGATACACTAAAACCACTCTAATTTTCATTGATGCCATCGTTGTCTTAAACATTGCCGCCAAATGATTTTTTTATTTTATTTTAATTTTCACTTTTTAATTGGAAGAAGAAATAAAAGTTAAATTTTAATGAAATTAATGAAAATTTATTGACCAATTGTAAAAGCTAATTTATGATAAATAAATATTAATTTAACACTTTTTTTGATTTTATACATTAATTTTGGGATTCATTATCCTTTAAGTTGAAAAAATCTCCGTGCCACTTAATTTTTCAAAACGTATAATTAACGATAAATTTAATTATCAATTAAGTTTTTTCATTACTTCTAATTAGATAAAAATACCTATCATAAAATATTTTGAAGAGTAAAAAATTAATATGAATTTTTTTTAACTAAAAGATTAAACTAAACCCATATTAACACACGAAATAAAAAATAATATTAAATGATATTTTTGAAACTAACTTAAAATATCGTATTGTTAGATGATTTGATCTCTGAAAAATAATACTCTATCTGTAAATATAATAAACACTAAAAATAGCATTAACACAGTACTTTAATTTAAAAAGCATTTATTTATAGATTGGAGTACTTTACTTAACTAATTATTTAATTCAAAAGGGCTTTACGTGCTTTTGTTGTGTTGTGTTGTCTTTTGTCGGTGTTGCAACGTGTTCAAACTTTTTCATTCTATTTTCCTTTTACATAATAAAATAAAATAAATATAAAATAGTACCAAAAAAAGAGAAAAAAAAAGCAGAGTAATTGATATGATAACAGCTGGAGTGGGAGAGGTATCTTCTCCCAACACGTTTCAATGGCAAAATTTTCTGTCTCCCCTCTCTGCTCATCCCCCTCTCCTCGTCTTCAACTTCACCGGCAATCATTCTTCACCGTTTCTCAAGCAATCGCTCATCCCGCTTCTTCCGCAACCGATTCCAATTCCACTTTCACCTTCGCTACCACTTCCAATCTCACTCCCAAAGTCGTCGTCACCAGAGAACGCGGCAAAAACTCCAAGCTTATCAATGCTCTGGTACTCACTTTAACAATTCCACTATCGCGTTTTTTCTCTACCGCATCACATTACATTATGCTTGATTTTAACGCCTCTAACTCAAATTAATTATATATGCTTTATTTTCTGATTACATGCAAGTCTGATATGTTTATGCTTGATTATCATTTTTTTTTTTAATTTTTTAATTTTTTTTTAATAAACTGAATGACATTTGCCATTTACATGTTTGATGAAAGGTTCAAATCAATGTTGATATTGTAATATTTTCAATTTTTCATCTATTTTGTTATATTTCTATGCTCAAAATTTTTAATAATATAAAATATTTTAATGCAGCGAAATTTATGCATATTGTATGTTCAGATCGCATTAGGTTTGTATAAACATAGATGATTTAGCATTTTATGGATTGGTTGAAGAGAATTTACTTGGGACTTTTCTGTTTGAAATTCATAACCGAGCAGTTATAGATTCTTGACCTGTTAGTTAATAAATTAGTTAAATATCACTTTCTATATGACGATATTTGATAATCCTTTCTTTTTATAGAGTTTTATGATTGTAGGTCTATTTGATGTAGTAAGTTTGTGTTTGAGAGGGCTTTTGAAAAAGGAGAAACCTATAAAATTATTCAAACAATTTCAAACTTTATTTGGGAGTTTGAAGGAATAAGAAGAGGAAGGGAAACACAAGGGAATCCCTCACAGTTTCTTGGAGTGTTTTTGAAAGGAGTGAGATGAAAAATCATGAGTAATTTTTTTTTCCAGTGTATTATTAAAAGAAGTAATGGATTTGAAAATCCCTCATCTCATTTTCCCTCGAAACTCCCTAAAAATGGGAGGGGAAGGCAAACGTGCAATGAGATGATCAACTAACTTAGGTTATGTTATGTCAATAAAATGAAAAGGAGGATTCAAATGATACCAACAGTTGTAAGATTAAGTTTGACTGATCACGTTCACTAAAACTATTGTGGTAATTCCAATGTCAAGTGCAGGCCAAACATGAAATCAGTTGTTTGGAGCTTCCACTCATTGAGCACCTACGGGGACCTGATTTTGACAGGCTTCCTTGTACATTAAGTGGTAAGCTCTTGGATAAACCAATGTCTTCAACATTTAATTCTTTTGTGACGTAGAAATTGCTCCTTTTTTTAATCTAGTAGAGATATTATATGATTTGATTATCTTTTCTTGGCCAACTTTTAGAATAAAATTCATGTGTGTTTGATGGGAAGAATGATGCAGAGGCGTCACTTCTGAATTCTATGTAAAGTTTATGACACAATATCATATCTGAGAGTGATAAGCTATTTCCCATCACAAATGGTTTCCTCTCATGGTATGATTTGTAAGAAACTGGGTACGGTTCCTTTATGTGGATCGATATCTAAAGCGAAGTAGCTTAGAGAAATATGGAATTTGTAAATCCATGATTTTTATTTTTAAACTTAAAAGGTCATTTACATGCTGTTATCTCTTATATCTTTTCTGTTACACATCATAGCACAAATGCAACTTTCAACGTCATGCTTATTATGAATGCTTTATCACTTTTCACCCATTAATTTCTTCCAATGATTCTTGATTCTTGCAGATAATGCATTTGATTGGGTTATCATAACTTCTCCGGAGGCTGGTTCAGTCTTTCTGGAGGCATGGAAGTAAGGATTTAGGTTTGATTGGGTAAATTGTGTAAAAAAAAGCTTGAGTAGAATGTTATTTAGATTAATTATGTCTGAAAATTCAAATTTCAATTGAAGTAATACATTTGTACAAAAGTTACCTTTAGTTGTCTTCAAATGATTTTGAATGTATTTTCGAGGAATTACTTCTGAAAATTCAATATTTAAAGCTAACTAATTCATTAGTCACATTCAAATGATTTTTTGATTTGTTTTTAGCAAATCTTGTTCCCCTTCAAAATTAACTTTGGGTTATTGTGGAGTGCAAGCCAAACATGCACCCCAAAGTTAATTTATCAATCATGAGTTGTCTAAAATTTGAACAGGTTGTTGATGCTGTGCCTCATAATTTGTTATTTTTCTTCAGTGAGTTGACATCTTTGCCCCACCTTTTTTTTTCTCTATTGAAAATTTTGTACCATTTTAATAATTATGGTAATATGTTATCCAATTGTCATTCATCTTCAATCTAACTCGAGCATGAGTTGTCAAAGATGAAAATGTCAATTTGTTGAATGTCAATAATGTTTTTAATTGTTGTGGTCTTATTTGTTGATGCGGTTTATAGTTGGCCAGATTCAGTAATACAAAGAACTTAAAAAAAACTAACCATTTATTTTATTCTGTTCTTTACAATAGCATTTTGTATGTGTAACTTTATATAATTTTATTGGAGATCTTAATTGTTTAACAATTGATTAGCTCAGTCTTTATTATTGTCCTTAGAACTGCTGGGATGCCCCACGCCAGAATAGGCGTTGTTGGATCAGGTACTGCAAGCATTTTCAAAGAAGCTTTGCTGTCTTCAAACAAATCGCTTGATGTTGCGTTTTCACCATCTAAAGGTATTAGTGTTTGTAGACTGAATTTTAATGGCTCCTTCATTGATATCTCTAGTTTCGCTTCTTCACCATTATGGATGGCTAACTTCAGAAATATAATTAGAAAGTAATATCCCAGATCTTTCTATTATTTTGTGGGTATTCAAGGAATATATGCATCCAGTTAGGTAAAAGAAGGACTTAGCTTTACTTTGATAGTATTAGTACTGTGAATCAGTAGCGTTACTACCAGAATTTTGCATTGGAGAATGTGTAACCATCTTTAGCATTATGTCAGTAGGTGATCATATTGTTAATTAGTATCAAGTATAAATAGTAAAGAGATTGAAGTTTATTTTAAGTAAGTGACTTGTTAAGGATTTGATATTTTCAGCAACTGGAAAAGTTTTGGCAACAGAGCTTCCCAAAGTCGGAAATAAAACCACCATTCTATATCCTGCTTCTGAAAAGGCTAGCAATGAGATTGGTATGTGAAATGTTCTTGCTGCTTTGAAAAAACAGCATTCACTATTTTATAGTTATTACTTAAGTTATGATATTCTCACAGTTTGTGATATTACATAAACAGAGGAAGGGCTTTCAAGTCGCGGATTTCAAGTTACTAGGATGAATACATATACAACGGTATAATATTTTAGTCTTGGTGTCCTCTTTTTCCAGAAAATATGGTCCATCACAAGTTTTTCTTGCAAGCACATTTGATTTGTGTTTTGTACAATTAGCCGGGTTAAATTATGTATAGTGTAAATAATGATTCATTCCTTATAATGTTTCATGGTCTGTTTGGAAGTTGTGTTATAAAAATTATTTTTCAGCTATTATGTATTTGTTAAGTGTGTCACGTTATGCAGTTTCAAGGAAATTGTTACAAAGGCTTGAAATTGTGTCCTTTTCATACAATTTCCCCCTTATATTTATTCATTTTATGTAGCAGTTTAAAATTTCAGAATACCGGGCATGCATTTATTTCTACACCAGCATCAATAGCTTATGTTAATTGTCATCTCCCAAAAAGTTTGATTGCAAATGGTTTTTCTAGTTTTTATCATAACCAACTATATCTTGCACCTGGGAATGATTATTTTGGACTATTTATGATTATATATCTCTCAGATTTACTGTTGCCGCTAATTCTAACTTAGCCGTCAGGTACCAGTTCAACATGTTGACCAGATGGTTCTAAAGCAAGCACTTGCTGCCCCTGTTGTTACAGTAGCTTCACCATCTGCAATTCGGTGCGTTCCTTTTTGCTTCTTCCCCTTTTGCCTTTTAGTATTTTAATATTTGACACCCATTTCAAATCTACATAAATTTATCTCCTCCGTGCAAACTAACTTTGATGCTGTTTTCGTATCTTAGTTAAGTGTCTAAATGACTCTTGTGGTTGTAAAAGTTTGAAAATTTTGCTTTATCTTCTTATTTTCACTTTAGAAATTGGTATGGAATTTTCTTACAAAATTCTATATTATTTAGTATTTACCCACAGATTTTTTCCCGAGACAATTGACCTAGTTCATGTATTCTGCCGCAACAGGGCCTGGAAGAATCTCCTTTCAGATTCTGACTGGAGCAATTATGTTGCATGCATTGGTGAGACAACTGCTGCAATGTCAAGAAGATTAGGCTTCAAAAATGTGTACCACCCAACACAACCAGGCATTGAAGGGTAAATCACAAATCCTCTTTTGAGAATACTTTTGGGGTTTTCTTGTGATTATTCTCCCATAGAGAAGGTTTTCCTCTTTTATTTCTGGAAAATGCATCTTTCACCACTTAAGTGACTCAAGTTAGTATAATGGATTATTGAAAAATCAGTACTTGAGATTATGATAAAAATATAGACCATGACTAAAATTCGTAATTTGTTGTAAAAACATTCTAGTGGCTCTGTGAAAATATGGCTCTGATTTGAGGTCCTTTAACAATCTTCTTTCTCCTGACAGCTGGGTGGAAAGCATCCTTGAAGCATTGGGATCCTATGATGAATTATTGAGGTAGTTCTCTGCTCATGATAGCAACCTGAAGGTGTGTCCACCTGTTTCTTTATGTAGAGTATTTGATTCATTTATTGAGTTGGCGTCGAGGATGGGTTTATTTTCTCTGTTCATCTGTATTCTTGAGACTTATGAGGTTATCATGTACCAGTAGTAAATAGTTCCCATCATGTAAATATTATATCTCTATTTATTTACTACCAATTCAATTGAGCACTCAAGGTGTCCAAAGGGTTAACAAGTGCCATTATGAAGACGATTTCCATGTTTTATTTGGTTTGAAGATATATCGTTTGACCTTTAGCTGAGTCTGGTTCAGTCCTGGTTGAATTGAGACTGCAGTAGTTCAGCCATTCAGCTTTAAACTAGAGTTTGATCATAAGAAAGATTGAGACAAAATACAGAAGGCGTGATTGAAAGAACCTCTTATTTCTAACTTTTTATCTCGTGGCGAAGAAGGATTGTAGAATTTTTAACTGAACTTCAAATGTGGAGAGTGAGAGTGGAGTTTTCTGGTTATGGTGAAACACCCAGTTAAATTGCAAGTATATTTCATAGAACGATGTGACAAGTAAAATCACGATAGAAGGTGATAAATTTTCTTCTGTTGCCACACAGTTATATAGTGAAAAAGACTCATAATACATCATCATGTGAAGATGGAAGTACATTGCTTGGGTGGATGGAATTTTTGATCTAAAAAAATGCAACAAAACTTGGAGCTATGCCCAACATTTTAGTATATATACCATTCTACCCATGTTTCACGGTTTTTTTTTACTTTGTACAGTGGCACCATGGGTGTTGGAGTCACCCTTATAAACTATAGGGGGGCGTCATCCCCTTTGGAGCCATCCTATAATTTATAAGGGGGCGCCATCCCCTTTGGAGGCACCCCTTATGAGTTAAAGGAGGGCACCATCCCCTTTGGAGGCACCCCTTATGAGTTAAAGGGGGCGCCATTCCATTTGGAGTCTCCTTTATTTTGTTTAATTTTTTAATTCTAATATAAATAATATAATTAATATTTAATACTATTTTAGACCAAATTTTTTTGTATAAATAGTTAGACTTGTTTCATTCAAATTAACATTGTTTCATTCAAATTTAGAAGAGTGAGTCATGTATCTTAAAAGATATGGGCATGTAATTTTTTCAAGAACGAAGTATAAGGATGTTGTTTTGGAACATCTAGAGTTTAGAGCAACTACAAAGAAATTTGAATCGGTGGTTAGAAGAAGACATTCCAAATGGTGAAAGCATTAGGAGTATTAAAAGACTTGTCTCGTACTTCTCTGTTGAAGACGAAAATATACGGCGGGAGTGGGTGCGAATTAGAGATGACAACGCAGTTAGGTCTATGATGTTCGGAACTAATGATATTACTTTGATTGTTGTTATATCTTAGTTTATGATGTAATAATCGTTATATTTTTAATGATTTGCGTTGTTGCTCTAAAAGTATTTCAATTTGTTTATGTGGTAATCAAAAGTTGTTATAAATATTAAATTTCAAGGTTATACCTTTTTTTTAATTACCAAATTAAATCTATCAAGAACTTGTTCCAACATTTGGACAATTATTCCTCGTATACCCGGGAAGACAACATATTTCGCACAATCCTTCCATTTTCTCAGTTGTATCCATTTCAGTTGTAAATTGCGTATCCATTTAAGTTGTAATTCGCGTGCTTTTGGGGCGACTCTTTTTGTTTCGACTCATATTTTCGTTGTGGTAGATTGTGTCTCCATGATAGGTTGGCCAATATTCCTCACTAACTACCATTGGAAAACTGTTATTGTAGATACCGAATAAGTTTACGACCTTGTAAACTTCTGATAGTTGCAAGAATGGATCGTGACGAGCAATGAAACATGCGGCAATGACATGTGAATAAGGCATGCGGAAGGTTTGAAACTTTTCGCAGTCGCACCAATTTTTATGAAGTTCCACCCTGTAGTGTCTCATTGGCCGACCCTCGTTGTGATCCATTGTCTCATCAACAATGAAGTTGTAATCGTGACGATCAAATGGTCTAACTCGATGTGAGGCCGCCTTAGAAGTTTCATCCTTCATATATTTCATACATGATTCACTGAATATTTGCCCTGATTCCAAAACCGCGCTCCATTTTTTGCCTCTTGCCGCAAAAAGTGACCCCAATTTGTAATAGGTTGCTCTTACCAACGCAGTGATGGGGAGGTTCCTAGTTCCCTTAAATACGCCGTTTAGGGATTCTACAAGATTTGTGGTCATGTGACCCCATCTGCATCCTCCATCAGACCCTGTCCATTTCTCGACTGGAATGCTATCCACCCACCTTAATGCTTCCGCGCTTGACAATCTTATTTCTTCGCGGTAATACATGAACGATGGTTGGTTTAAGGCAATATCCAGCGTCCACAACTTTTTTACGGAGATTTCTGTCTTTCATTTCCCGCATAAAATTCTGAGCAATGTGTCTTATGCAGTAGACATGGACAGAAGGAGGATTGTGTCAACCATTAGCAGGATTGTTGTAGGCGCTCACAATAGAGGCATGTCTGTCGGAAATCAGACATAAGTTGGGTTGTGGAGTGACATGTGTTCTGAGATTTCTGAGGAAAAAACTCCAAGCTTCACCTGTCTCACCCTTGACCAGGGCAAAGGCAATCGAAAATATATTATTATATTCGTCTTGTGCAACCGCCATCAACAATGTTCCTTTGTATTTTCCATACAACATGTTCCATCGACTTGAATAACCGGTTTGTAGAACGCAAAGCCTTTGATACATGGTTGAAATGCCCAAAAGAGACGAGACAATATCCTACTTCCATCAGCACATGTTCCTTCAGGAGTGTATGCTGGTAGTGACTCCAATATTACAACCGTACCAGGAACATACCAGGAACATATTTTTCACTCTACCATAAATTCAAAATTCAAAATTCAAATTCACAATTTTTACTATAAATACTTCTCCTCCTCATTGTCAAAAACTCATCAAATATTTTCTTCATATATTTACACTATAGAAGAAATGTCTCTGTTAACATTGGGCGAAATGGATAGAGAAACACCAAGCAACATCGCGTCTTATGTAAGTAGTTGTACCCGATAATTATTTCACAATGTTGTATTGATTTGTAGCATTCTACTATTGCTATAAATACAATGTTCTAATGATTTGTTGTATTGATTTGTAGAATACTCACGACTTCCGAACTCGTGGGCATAAACATTTCCCACATGACCCGATAATTCAACCATATTTGGCGCGCGCAGGATTTGGAGAAGTCATCAAAACAACAAATTATCTCCTTGATATCAAGTTCATTTTAGCACTTCAAGAACGGTGGCGACCCAAGACGCATACATTTCATCTTCCAATAGGTGAATGTGTTGTTACTCTTGAGGATACTTACATGTTATTGGGTTTATCCATTAATGGTAAGGCGGTAAACGGTTTCACCAATCCTAGCGTTAGTGTGATAGAAGAACTTTTAGGGATTGAACCAACCCTAAGAAATTTGAGGGGTCAAAAAATATTATTATCATGGCTCAAAAGAATTTTTGGAGAGATGAGGTTAACCCGAGATTCTCCAGAAATATTGAAAATTAGAAAAACAAGAATTTATATTATGTTACTAATAGGTTTATTTTTATGTCCGGATACAAGTGGTAACGCTGTTCATCCTATGTATTTAGTTTTATTAGATGATATAGATAAAATAAGAACATATAGTTGGGGGTCCGCTACACTAGCGCACCTATATCGGTCTTTGTGTAATAACGCAATAGCAAATTCGGGAAATTTTACCGGATGTGGTGTTCTTCTTCAAGCTTGGGGTTGGTCAAGAATGACCAATCTAGCACCTATCCAACAAAATAATTTCGAATTCCCATACGCTACAAGGTAATTAATTACTTAGACCAAGAATGATCAATCTTTCATAGTCTTTTACTTAATTAATCCTATTATTAACAAATGTTTTCTTTTCAATTTATAGGTGGTCTTCACTTGGGATGAATTACGACAAATGTCCTCATTTCAGTATCACCCAATACAGAAATCTTATAGATCATTTGGGTCAAGATGATGTAAGTACTAAATATTATTAGAATATAGTCTCCTTAACCTACCTTTTTAGAATATAGTCTCCTTAAATATTATTAGAAAATACTAAATATTATTTTTTTTCTCCTACAGTTTATTTGGCGGCCATATCTTGGTCTAGAAGCCATTCATTAAGTTAACCAACACGACTATGCAGTGTGGAGTGCAAAGGTGCCGATTATCAACTTCACAACCGTGGAGATGCACAACAGTGATCGTGTCAAGCTTTCAGTTTGGAATGCTTCAAGATATTCCATGTCCACCAAAATGCATCCCCGACAAATATCACACCGGTAAAGTCTCCGACCAATGGGAATATTCTCCATGGACCAAGTATGCTAAACATGAGTGTCGTGAATGGAGGCATCGCAACCATTTTGTTTTGTCCGACGCTGTGTTTCCATACGAGAGAAAACAGACTATCCAATACATGAATTGATATAGGTCGGTATCCATTGGTTTCATTTCGCATCCAAGATATCTTGTTGACCCACACCAACGAGCCTCATCATGAAGACCCCAACAACCTACCCAGCCCCATTTCCAACTGCCAACCCAACCCCCACTCACACAACCACAAATCCATGAACGTACCCCTACCCAATCCACCCCATTCACACAAACTTATTCACAGTCTCAATACCAACAATATCCACCACCATACCAACAATACTCCTGTGATACAACAAACCAATTTAACACACAGTATCATACACTTAATCAACCCTTACCCACCCAAACATTTACACCCATGTCACTCTACGATCAGGCAGGCTATCGTCCTGAAATTGCCTCATCGAGCCAACCACCCCAACATAATTATGAAGGCATGGGAAACCCTTTTAATTTGGATGACTTTGCGGAGATGGACTCGTCTTCATGGGCCGAAATGATCCAATTTCTT